TATTTTGTTTTGTTTACAAACACAAAGAAATCAAAACCTTTATAATGCAAACAATTGTTTTTAATAAATTCTGTCATTAATTCTTAATTTTAATACTATTTAGATCCCCAAAATTATTTAAAATCTTTCTACTTTTCTGTTTAATATATATTTGAATATTGATTATATTTTTACCCTGAGAACATTATTATTAATAATTAAATCCTTTGTGTTGAATGGGGGTAAAAAAAAAAAAAAAAATCGTTGAATTACTGGCAAAATTTTCACTGAATTTGTGCCAAGAAAACATGTTCAGCAGTCAAAATGTTAAAAATATTTATTACCCATTGTACTTAATAAGTGTGTAAAAAAAGCACATTAAGTAGACTATTCAATAAATTGAAAACTAAAGCAATCCAAGCTTATTTGACTGATCTCTCATGAGAATGATTAATTTTATTAATCATTCAGATCAAACAGTTTCCTGGGAACATAATATATATTACATGAGATTTTTAAATTATTTTAAAAAAAAGAAAAGGAGAGAGATATTGAGAGAATGGGATCTGAAACATTGTCATTTTAAAAAAAAGAACAAAAAAATGAAAAGAGAAAACAGGATCTGGATTATTAAATTTCATCCAAACCCTAACAAAAATATTTTATCAGCAGTGGTCAAATTTTGTTTGTTAAAGCCTGCCTTAGTTATAAATATTAAAAAAAAAAAAAAAAAAGTTTCAGGTACAATGAGTTAATAAAAAAATATATATATCAACAAAAATCAGGGAGCAGAATATATGAAGGGTGCTGAAAAACTTTTGACCAGAATCTGTCCAAATGACCAAATAACAAAATAGATTTGGGTGGACTTCTCGATCAGAGAGATAACTTTTCAGCAACCTCTTATATAACCCAAAACAGACATTTATTAATTAGCAAATCCATTTTATAAGATATTACTTGGACCAAATCAGCTTTGGTAAATGGGAAAAAAAATCATTGAGTTCTCAATGAAAAATACTCTCACTACCAACAAATACACACATCTTCTGTCAACAAGAGATCCACTACTCAGTCTATGCAAAAATATTTGTTACTTTTATATGCTAAATTCATAAACTGATCATCTAAAATATTGAAAAGATAGTTACAAGAAATATTGCCTTTGTAAATAAATTATAATTTAGACAAAGAAGAAATGTTTCATAAAATTTTGTCATATTTATGCAAGTTTTCTTTATGTCTAATTACAAATTAGTAAAATTAACATTTTTTTCCAACTATTTTAGCATTCAATCTACCCCTGTAAATATTGAAACTCAATGTTCAACCGACAATCCTCCATTCCATGTATACTCTGCCATGACATATGACAATGTCATTGCGAATAATGCAGGAAGTCACACAAACAGTGAGACTTTGATAGGCAAATGTTTTTGTATAATATTAATTACATTTTCTACCCAAGAGATTTTCAATGGTTTTATTGTAATTTTAATTGATAATTTCTCTGATCATTTTCAAATGCCACTTCATATGCATCCAACACACACAAAAAAATAACTCGTTGTTATCCAATGTAACTACTTTCATATTTAGTTATATCATTTAAAGATTTTATGTTTGTTATTAAGAACCTTGAGATAGTCTGACAAAAAACAAATCTATGCTTCATTTTGGACTGAAACTGGTTCAACCATTGAAGAGAAGGAATAAAAAAAGTACTACTACTTTCTGCCTTTAATTTATGTGAAAATTTTGTTTCACTAACATTATTTGCAGAATCTATCTGTACTCTGCTCTATATCAGCTTATATATTTTGTAAGTAAATTTCCTTATAAACAGGGTGCGATGGGTAAATTGTCACCATTCTTTATTTATCCCCTATCTGTACTCTACTCTATATCAGTTTATATAAATATGTAAGTAAATTTTCTGAGATGTATGCGATGGGTAAATTGTCACCATTTTATATTTTTAATTTTGTGGATGTGAGTTGTTTTTGCCGACTGCACAGTATAGTAAGGTCAGTTGGTCACCATCTGAGAAAAAGAGCACCATGACAATTCACTCTATGAGAAATTTGGAAATGGCATGTTGTACTGCTGGGCATTCATGTTGGAAGTTTCAATATGGACATTTTTTCAGAGTGTTTGGGTGCCAATCAGAATGCAGAGGATTCAAAAAGAGTTGGATGAATCTAATGGTGATTATGAAGATGTTTGGAGTAATCTCTAGTAATGGTCATGTTATGCCTCCATTCATCTTCCCACAGGGTCTCAGACTGAACATGGAGGCCTACATCAAGTGCTTTGAGGAGGTAGTGCTGCTCTTGGTCAAGAGGGTGGCTGCTGGAAGACCCTATGTCTGGCAACAGGATTCTGTACCCTGGTACAAAAGCAGAACCCAATCATGGCTGTCAGACAATTTCTGTAACCACATCACCCCTTATATCTGACCACCTAACTCCCCAGACTGCAACCCCCTTGATTATGTGTGGGACACAGTTGAATGAGAGACCAACAAAACTCCTTTTAACATCAAAGACGAAATGAAGGCAGGAGATTCTAAAGTTGTCTGGAGGCCTATGTTAATTTTATTGAATAAATTTACTCTTTAGTATTTCAAGATATTTTTGTGTAATTTTGGTAAATATATGTTAAAATTAGATGTTGGTGTTATTTTCATTTTTGCATAATTTAGACGACAATTTACCCATCGCACCCTGTATATTTCCTGGCATCAACAATGCTGTTTTTACCATGTTTTGAAGGTTGAAAAATAATCTTTATAGGCTGAGAGCTAATTATAGAGAAAATACTGTAATACAAAACACTTATTTTGAATTCCTGTATTTGACCCTAGAATGAATATAAAATTGTTTCATATAAGAAATAACTGTTTAGAAAAATATCACTGGTGCTTCAGCAGTATCGATAGCATCGATCACTTTACTAAAATTTATTATTAGTAATTTGTTCATGACAGGGTTTAGGAGAGATAACAAAAAGACAAAATTTGTTAACATCTATAAACAACAGGAAACTGTGGAAAGCCATGATTGCTAAAGTCCTGAACAAACATGGCACATAGAGGAATTTGTTCATGAATAACATTAGCTAGTGCTGAAGATGTTAATTCATATGCCAGAGTCATTTTACTCAATATTTTCCTCTTTGGATAGATTGCCTGTCAATATAAAGTAAAATTACAAAATATTAAAAAGAACTTTACAAATCAAGAAGGAACACTGATGGCTGCCATTTGCACAATATAAAACGTTTGTATTGTTTTCAGTTATCTCATTCCTTAAATCTACTTTATTCCAACAAAAAAGAAAATGTCAGAAGACAGAGCCACTTATAAATCTGATTGTTTTTAACATTTAGCTATAGCTAATGAGTAGATTCATTTTGGAAGTCTGTGCGTCTCTGATGCTAGGAATGCAGTAGATGCATGTAGCAGAGAATAAATTATCATTAGTTTATGATAAAGACATTTACCAATCTTCTTATAGCCAAACTAAGAAATCACCCCCACCATATAAACTAGCCTCCATCATTCAATATAGACACATGACCAGGAATATGGTGCTCGAAAATGAATAGAGAAACAAGCTGTGACTTTTTAATGTCTCAGAATTAGAATACTGATTATGAATATTTATCTGAACAAAAGATTTACAAGTAATCTTTCAATATATTGAAATACTATTTGTAGGTATTGGAATATTAGAGCTGAAGCTTCATTTCATATCTGTTATTTTTATATATAATAACAAAAATTGTTTTGCAAAAGAAATCAAGAGTGAATAACAAAGACAAACTTATTGTAACTCTGATCATTGTGATGATCTTGGAGGAGATCGAAGGTACTTGGGTAGAATATGTCTATATTATTCAATGAAACATGTTTGAACAAAGACATGCTGCCTAAACATATGTATATATATATATATATATATGTGTGTGTGTGTGTGTAATTAAATGCTCTTATTTTTTTTTATTACTATTAATCTTATTATTATTTATGCTCTGTGTCTTGTTCTATGTACTATAATTACAAAGACTGCTTCTTTTTAAAATGTTATCTTTGAGAAATAGCCAGGTCAACTATTTTTTCAATGAAATACAATCTTTGTTTATATATATATATATATATATATATATATATATAAACAAAAAAGTTCATCATGGAGATTAAATTATGACTCAAAAGCAAGCATCAAAATTCTTGGTAATTTCAAATCCAATTTCTTTGGCTCTAGAATATAACTTCAAACATATTTTTACAATGAATTGATCCCTATATGAAATATATAAACAAATTTAAACAAAGTAACTACTTATGACATCTTGATGCAATCTTATTACAAGCACTTATTGTAATCAGACATTGAAAATTTTAAAAAAATGTATCTCAATGTTCACAGAAACTCTGAGTTTAAGCCATATCAAAAGAGTTACACACATATTCGAAGAGACTGAATGTGTCCTGTGCTATATTTACTGTTATCCAAATCTTGTGAGGAGGTAATATTATTTCACAGTTCATTTTAGAAATTTTACATTGACTGATGTCAGCAAAAATGGACAAAAAATAATTGTGACAGGTAGGGCTTCATTCAACTCTCATCCTAATTAAGAGCACAATTAAAAATTAATCACCTACTTAAAAGTTCCACAGCTGGGTAGATAAAATAAAAATCTATTTCTATCCCAAGACTTTTGTTTTTGATACTCAGTGGGTAGGCATTAGGTGGGATGCTTAAGTTTTACTTTCATTTTTTTTTCTTCATATAAACACACTTCTATTGTGACATTTAAAGCGACATAAAATGATTCTTATTTGATAAAACTGAAAAAACAAAAAAAAACTTTGATGTTTCTCTTTGTTGACATGTTTTAAAAGATCTTTTTTTTCACATATTTTACAAAATATAACAATCATCTTTAAGCTGATTATATTTCAGGTTCATCCTTTTCTGACTATTTGTTTTTCTTATAGTGTTCCTGTTTGCTCACCACAGACGTGTGTGAGAATAGCCCCTGTGTAAAAGGCTTGTGTAAGTTGGAGTGTTGTTAAATAAAGTCCATTGCGTATTAGATGGTTTCAAACATTTTGGGGGTTGCATTGGCTGGTAATAAATGTTATCAACTGCTGGCAAGCTGAAAAACAAAAAGAACAAGTGGAGAAATATCAATCAGCAGAAAAACTAAGATCCACGCACAAGGTTCAATAATTTCCTTTTTTTAATCTTATTAAGGAGAGAAAGAAAATTATCTTCTAATCTGAATTCAGATTTTAATTTTTATAGATTTATTTGAGTAACCAAATTTCAAGATGGAAAACCGTGTTCTGATGTGGTTAGTTTAGAAATGAACATATTCAGACAAATTCATTTCTGAATAAAATATCATACAACAGTTTTCCATTTTGTTGTTTATTTAGTTGCTATTATTCAAATAATTTTAGATTATATTTTTTATATATTTGTGCATAACTCCAGTTTAATAACAAACAAGCAAACCATAAAAATGTTTCAAATACAAAGCAAAATCTTTCTGTTTTATTTCTTTTACTTCTCAAAATCAGAATGATATATCTGTTATATGTGTGTGTGTATATTCAGGCAGCATATTTTCATTCAAACAGCTTTGGTTCAATATTGTACATTAATTTAAATGTCCTTTAGAAGATTGTATCTGACAAAAATGTCAATATGTCCGTTGGCTTTATTATGACAATGTTGACAAAAAGTCCTACATTCCATTTGGTTGAGCATAGTTCCATATCTCAGCATTTAAAGGAACACTCATGCCCACATTCACAGATTAGACAGCTATTAGTTGAAAATACATCTATATTACATAAAAACAATAATAAGCAAAAACTAAAAATCCTTGAAGCCCTTTACATAATTAATTTAAACATTGAAAAAAGGATTTTTTTGGTTGGTTATAAAGATAAGACCATGTGTGAAAAAAAATTACTGGACAAAAATTTTAGAACTAGTCAGTGTGCTCATAGCTCATTTCCAGTATTAAATTTCACTTTTTAAAATGGCTAAGGGTAAAATTTGAACAAAGTTTGAACAGGGCAGGATTGTTAAACTTCAAACAAGCCATTGCAAATGAAATTGGCTGTCATTGCTAACTTCATTAAAAATCTGGATGCGTATGCTTCTAAAAAAATCAAGCAGTCGCCCCCAATAAAATCTCTCCATCTCTAGACAGACGCATTAGGTGAGAAGTTAAGAGAGATTCAAGCCTAACATCAAATCAGATAAAAGCAAATACAGGTGCTGAATGCAGCTCTTGAATAATTCAACAGCATTTAAATAAGAAAGGGTTAAAGAATTTGAAACGGCTTCAGAAACCTTGCCATCTCCTTCACCATAAAACTTCCAGTTTATAATTTGCTTACGATTATCAAACTTGGGATGTGGATAAATGGAAGAAAGTGTTGTTTTCGGATGAGAAAAAATTCAACCATGATGGACCAGACGGTTTTCAGCATTACTGGCATGCAAAAGATGTCCCAAAAGAAATTTTCTCAACACAGCAGTGGAGGTGGATCATTTATGGTCTGGGGTTTGTTTTCACAAAATGGAACTCTTGAGTTACAGGAGGTAAAAGGTCATCAAACAGCTGCTAGTTACATTGCCATGTTAAGAAAGGCATTGCTAATTACTGAAGGCCCTCATCTGTGTGGAGAAAACTGGGTTTTCCAGCAGGACAATGCTGCAATCCAGAATGTTCTCTATATCAAAACTCAATCGAGAATGTTTGGGGATGGATGGCAAAGGATATTTATAAACATGGATCGGAATTTGAAACTGTGGATGCTGATCATGCTGCAGTTTATGCATCCTGGGCAAGCATCCCAAAGCAAATTTTTGAAGTAATTTGCCAAAATGGCGGATATACTGAGAATTAAATTGTAGTTGTGACTTATTTGTTCTGTATTTACTATTTTTATTTACATGGTCTTATCTTTATGACCAACCCAAAAAATCCTTTTTTCAATGTTTGTTTAAATTAATCAATTAAAAGCTTAAAATGTTCACTTGTTTGTTGATAAACTACATTTTCTAAATAAATGTAAATGTTTCACAAGTAACAGTATTTTATTTTTTTTTTAACCCTTTTGTATCTGGTCTTAAGATTTTGATTAGGGGTGTGTGCATATATATATATATATATATATATATATATATTTTTTTTTTTTTTTACTTCAAACATTACTATAGTGGATACTTGTATTTGAAAAAGACAGCCTATTTTCATTTTAAATAGTGTGCATTACATACATTATGAGCATGTGGCAAAGTGGTGAGAACATTCACTTTCTAACAATGAGAACAAAGTTTGAATCTCACCATTTTTGATTTGTTGGGAAGATGACTTCTTGATGTTATTGGTCTGGAGGAGGCAATCCCAGCTATCAGTGGTTGTGCTAGTACAAAGTCACAAGTCATTGTGACTAACAGTTTGAACGTGCTGGCCTTGTTCAGACTGTTTATCATGCTAGATAATGCACACTCTCCCAGAAATTGTAACTATGGTCTACTCAGCATAGTTGCATTATAAACCATAGGTGGGCTCTGTGGGTGTTGAACAAATTGAAACGTGTTTGAGCAGACGTCTGCAACAGGGATTAGCTAGCTGCTGTAGTAGATTGGCATCCTCAGATATGAGTGGCCGAATTAGAATTACATCCTTCTACCTGCACATTTGAGAAACCTTAATAAAGAAAGTGTGCTCTATGGCACATTCTTTATGTATGTGTGTGTGTGGGGGGGTGTATAGAGGATGTATAATAGTATCTTAAACAAAAGTAGAGATGAGAGAAAATGGAAAAGCCATAAATAAAATGTTTCACCAATCTCTGTTGGTCTCAGCTTTTTCAGATCAGATGAAAGACAAAACTGTACATTTATAACTTTGCCACTTTGTCTCCACACATACATACATGAACTGGTGTATTTTACATTAAATAAATATAGTCATTTTATTTAAACACAGCAACCCTTTCTCATTTTTTTTTTTTCAACAAACGGTGACTCATGGACTCTTTTTCCAACAAGTTTGCTCTTCACTGAGTGACTAAAGCTTAGTAAGACAAGTAAATACCTATATGTATTCACATTTAGCACCTAATCAATTTCATCTAACTTCTCTTCTTTGGCTTTAATGAGGAATGTATTAAAAGAGAAATGCCTTTCAGTTCTAATAAAGAATTCTCAATACTTTAATTTTCTATTGTTTTCATGATTATTATAGATGTTATTACAGACATAAATTTTGGCCAAATACTCTCTGGCCATTTTCAGGTGACTTATTTTTGACTGATATGGGATATCTTGATTGTAGCATTATTTTATCCCTGTGATGTCAGTTTGTTCCTGCTGAATCGGTATATACTTTTTTCACTATTTGTTCTAAGAATTGAACTCATGACAACTATATGTACATCTGAAGATAGCTGAAAAGTATTTAGACAAAATGTCATGTCTATAATAATCAAGATGAGAACAATAGTTTGAATGAATTGTATTTGACAAAATCTTGCCTCAAATATGGAAAACACAAAAAACTTGATAAAATGGACAAATAAATTCTTAATCAATTTGATTTTTTTAAAATATGAGCATAATTTGTTTAAATATGGTCCGCCTAGTGGCTGAGATATGTATGCATTTGCCACCAGTTCCAGTGAGTATTGAATTGGATAACAGTAACATGACACTAATGAGAAAATGCTTATCCTATAAACAAGCAAATCAGTGTCAACAGTATTGTAAAGGTAGTGTTGTCCTTGGTTTTGTCCACTTTTCTCTCAATTATTTCATTAATTTTCTCCTCAACACAAAGACATATATACATACACCAAATGTTTCAAAAGTTATTCTTTCCTTTCTTATTCTGATAATGAGACTAATAAGAAATTGTTTTAAAAGTGGAAAATTTTGAGTTCAAAATTACCAAATTGCTGATGGTTCTATGGAGGCTGTTCTTTTGTTTTGGCCTCCACCATTACCAAATGTGTTTGGATAAAATCTCATTGTTCTCCTCTCATTGGTGCCATTACTGATTGTCTCTGTGTTTTGAACAGGTAAAGGTGAAAGAGGAGGTTCTGCAAATTAGAGAACAGTAATCAATGAAAAAAATACACAAAAACAAAATGTTTTTTACTTTTTATGACCAAGAAATTGCACAAATTATCCCAGCAGTCGCAAAAAAAAAGTAAATAAAAATAAATACAAAAAGAAATTTTACACAATGCAGTCAAGAATTTCTTAAAGAACAACATTTATACATGATGGCTTTATACTTATAAAACATTAAACGTGCATATAAAATACCTTACTCAATAAAAATAGGTCATAAGTAGCTCATTTATTAATATTTTTTTAAAAATTCAGTGAGAAATTATGCAAAACAGTTTTTAAAAGTAAGGTTCAAATTACTGGGCTATGAGCAAAGTCACTAATTTAAAAAATAAAAATAAAGTAAACAATTTTGCATGTGTAAATGGCATATAGGAGTGAAAAGAAGCAGTTAAATTTTGAAAATAACATATTTGCTAGCCTCGAAGATGTATTTTTGTTTTGACTAAGACAAGCTTTGAATTGCTGTTAAATGAAGCTCATCCCAGCCTGTAGAGTTTACTCTTTCAGTGATTAACCTCCCATCCATCATACAAGCATATTGGATACAAGGCATTTATAGGTTTTTAGTGATTTAACTTATATCCTCCAGAATCAGATTGAAATGATGCCTCCTTTTTTTTTTCCATCTCTCTAAACTATAATATTGGAAAGTGAACATTTCCAAGTTTTCATTAATCAAGAAAATAGGAACTTTAAGCAAAATAGCCATGATATATGCTATTTGCTTTGTTAAACTGACATTGATAAATATTAGAACTTTCTATTTCACTCTTATGTGAATTCAATTCCAAGACCTTCCCACTGACCAGACTTTTCTGGTGAGATGGGTGGCTAGACACCCAGCAAGCTTAAAAACAATACCTGTCAAAGGGCAGATGAAACTTCTTGTGATGTCAACAGCCATCTGACACTAGATTCCATAGCCATGTAAGCAGCCAGTGTAGTGATGACATGGTATCACTGTGTAGAGGATTCCTTGATGAAATAAGTGACCATGTGTCTCTGACCAAGGTGAGCCTTCAAGTTGAAGGACATTAGTTTGATTCATAGTTATCTCATGCCAACTACAAATTATCCTATGCTTGGCATTTTCTGAAACATTTTCATATGGGAGTATTAAAAACAAATTTATTTGCAGTGATACTTTTAGTGTGAAAATGATGTTTTATTGCCTAAGATGTCATTTGAAGTCAGATTTTGTAATTGACCTCTGGCAGTCAACATGATAATCTATATCTTTGACATAGTGACAAGTCAAGTGAAATAAATGAAAGGAAAAAAATTAATGTTAACAGTTATAACTTTACAATGTATTCACATTTGATATTTTACCTTTTGAAGCTTTAACATTTGGAACTCTCTTTGCATAAAACTCACTGGGTTGTGGCCAGCCAATGGTTGCCATATGCCTGCTGTATATGTTGGCTAAAGGAGTTGTAAGTTGACGTGACTCTAAGCCACACCTACTTGGTACTGTTCTTTTGGCGGTTGTAAATAGCTGATGGTTGCATGGATCAATAATGTGGTTCCCTGGAATACTGGAACAAAACAAGGAATGGAAAAAAAAAATAGTTAGAAATAATTTAGCATGGAATATGAAAGATTTTTCTTTAAATTACTACATACCGATTCCACAGGAAAACTGAAAGCATTACTGAAAGGTACTTTTGGTTTTAACTGCTGTTTTCATAACAGAGAATCAATTAAATTATTGTTGAGGTTCAAGAAATGCAGCCATTGGCCAAACTTGAACTTGTCCAACAAATAACCAGAAAACACTGATGAAAAGATAAATTTGCAGATAATTTTATGTAATAAGGTGATTGAATTGTAAATCTATTGCAAAATATGCTGTAGTATGCGACTCACTGCAGATGATGCCAGAGTAGACTTTGCACTCAGTGACATCAGAGAAGCCAAGTGCAGATGTCCTCCTAGCCACCAAGTATCAATCCATGCTTCACAGAATTTTTAGTGGCTGACCCCAACACATAAGTCAACCCAACTGCATCTAGGATGTGCACACACGGGAAAAATCATATAATAAACTGATATATAATGAGAATGTAGGGTCCATGTTCAGAGAAGTTCTTGGGGTTACACACTTACTGAACAACAGTAATTGCCAATGTTCACGTTGAATAAAATGTAATGTAGGAGAGATTAAGTATTTTTTTTTTTTAATTGGTATCATCCCATGCAAGGCAGTAAAGCCACTAAGACATTAGGAGTTACAGAGTGTGAAAGAATTAGGAACAGAAATATTAAAAATAAGCAGGAAGAGGAAAGAGTAATCAGAAGGACAGTAGATAGTGATTGACATTGCATTTAAATTTTTGCAGATTAAAGTTGCCTGGAAAGCATGAAGCCAGAAGGGAGTTCCACAAGCAAGAAAAGAAATTGTATTTTCATTAGTAATGTACAATATATAGTGTTTTGTGTTTAGATAAACTGAATGTTAGAACAGTGCTAACATTGTATGTTCTTAAGTTGAATATGTAGTCTTTCTTTCATAAAAAAAAAAATGACCAATTTTGATCATGTTCCAAAGTCACAATTTTATTAATCAGGTTGGAATTCCTTTATTCTTTTATAAACAAATAATTTTACAAGTACATCTCTTTTTTTTCTTGGTGTAATCATAACATATCTTTGTGAAAATCTTTTGATGTTAGTTCTCCAAGACTTTTTTACCCATCATCATGACAAAGATTATAAAAAGAACGTATAAAAATAAAAAAATGTCTTAAAATAATTATTGGACTTTGTCCATTTCATAATGTGTGACATCATTTGTTTACATTTGGATATGCATCAAGCAGATATGAATGTACGAGATAAAATCATGGAGAATTGTAGTTTAAAAACAGTAAAATCGACATTGCTAAGCAAAACACTCCTCTGTGGCTCAATTGGTAAAGCACATCAGGCCATATGATGGTTCCGTATAGGATACGGGTTTGATTCATGTTGGAGGATGCATATTTTCTATGAAAAATTTCTCGGACATTCAGGCTGGTAAATGTTGTTAATACTGTTTATTATAAACAGAGCATTTATTTAAATACTTGTATCTATAAAAGGAATGTATAAACATAAAAATGTCTTATATATATATATATATATATATATATATATATATATATATATATACACATACATACATACATACACACACAACAAAGCATAGATCCGGGAACACTTATGACAACTACCACAAGGTAGCTGTCCCAAACCCACATGTTCATATTGAAATAAATCACGTAAATCTATTTCTGCTGTTGTTGTATTTCCTTCTGCAACCATACGCTTGTCTATAACAATTTCAAGAGCCATCACCCAAAAAGCTGCCTGAAATCCATCCCCTACTCTCTAGCACGTAGGGTTTGTACTATAGTGAGTGACAAATCCCTCTGAAAAATCCACCTATAAGAACTACATAAAACTCTAAAAGAAAAAAAAAACCAAAAAAAAAAAAACAAGGCTACTGCACAACACTAATAAACAAAGGTTTTGAGCTCACAAAAAAAAATTCCTTTAGAACAACTACGAAATCCAAAGAAACGTAACGTCAAACAAACTCTAGCATATGTCAACATACAAGAACAATCCAGAACTAGTTAGAGAAATTACAAAAAATGTATGCCTACTTAGCAAGAATGACAAACTGAAAAATATACTAAAAACAACCAAAATAATTAAAAGCAAACACCAATCTAAAATCCTGAAAACATTAACCTCATCCAAATTTAGCCAACACAAAATACAGGAACAAAAAAAAGATATGGGGTTTGTGACGTCATTATAGAAAGAAACTCCTACACTTTTGAAAACCCCAAAACGATATTCATAATAAATAAAAATTTAAACTCCAAAAACGTGATTTATGCACTCAAATGCACAAAATGCAAGAAGTCATATATAGGTATCAGCCAACAACTAAACAGGGTCTCCCTGCACAAAAACAACATAAAATTACCAGACAACAGAAAACTCTGTGTATCACAACACATCTATAAATGTAACCAGGGTGAATTTAAAATTATGCCAATATATCAAACAGACAATTATTCTTACCTACAAATGCAAAAAAAAAAAACTTCATAAACAAATTTAAACCAGCACTAAATAGATCATAGCCCCACACGTGGGTATCTGGAGCACAAATATGTATATGCACATTGGCAAAAAAAAATAGACAACTCACAGGCATGCACACAAACCCTAAACAACATAGGAAGTATATCTATGTGTGTATATACTAATTCCTTATAAGACAGTATGTATGTATGGAGGGGGAATGCACGTATACATGTGCATGCTGTTATATATATATACATACATACATACACATAAAAGTATTACTGCAAATAAATTTGTTTTTAATACTCCCATATGAAACACTACACAACATAGGAATGGGTGTGTGTGTGTGTGTGTGTGTGTGTGTATATGTTTATACTAATTCCTTATAATAAGACAGTATGTATGTATGGACAGGGAATATTATATACATATGCATGTGGCCAAAACACAAAAAAAAAATGGAAATAGATCTAACAAACAGAGGTCATTAAAAGATAAGAATACAGATATCTTTCCTCACCCTCTCTCAGACAAATCTTAATTGTTTTATTAACTTTTATGCAGAACTTTTCCACTGTCAGTTCAAGGAAGATATTTGTGTCACTAACATACAAAAAAAGAGAATGTCTAACATTGAAAAACATGAGAAAAATTAATTCCTTTAGTAACATGTGGAAATATCCACTGTTTGCCTGACGAAGGTTGTGAGACTGGAAACTTGTGTAGCAAAATTATGGAAAATAAAGCATAATATATATTTTTTTAAAAATCCACATTACAACCAAAAACGTTTGTAGTTTCTCTCTTCTTTTTAATATATACACTTTTCTCTCGTTGGAACAACTATAACCTCTTCCCTTTATATATACATATACATATATATATATATATATATGTGTGTGTGTGTGTGTGTGTGTGTGTGTGTGTGTGTGTGTGTGTGTACTTTGTGATTACTGAAACCAATAAAAATTAACAGTTTAAAAGACTGCTTACATGAATAAATATTATTGCATTTCTTAATATTATATAAAAAATTTTGTAAGAAAATGCAAATGCAACAAAAATGTATGAAAATTTTGTTCATGTCTTGTGGCTCTCAAACATCTGGACTTTATCATATGTGGCTCTTACATTAAACAGGTCTGGACATCTTTGTTCTATGATAATGATTTCTTCTCTTGCACTTCTTGCTTGTGGAACTCACTTCCGGCTTCCTGCCATTCAAAAATTTAAATGTAATATCAATCACGATCTTCTCTTGAATCCTGGTCTTTTAATGTTCTCTCGCTACTCAATGTTTTCTCAGTTTCTTTCACTCTTAGTAACCACGTGCATCTTAGTGACTTTATCACCTTGCTTGGGGTGAAATGATTTTTAAAAAAGAAAAAAGGAAAGTGGATAAATTCAACATTTCTTACTTGGTTTGCTCATGCTGATCAAGCTGAGGTTGACTGATGCTGGGTAGGTAATTACCACTGACCTGAAAATACATACATCAAACATAATAGATTTATTTAACAAAAACCTGAAAAGAAAATATAAGCAAGATGAAGGGTGTTTTTCTTCATGGCAGGGATAAACATATTTGAATAGATTTTCATTTCTTTCCCAGACTTTTCTTTGAATTTGTATTCATTTTGTTCAAGAATAATTCTCTTATCATATTTTATTCCCACCCAGGTAATTTTTTGAATACTGTCACTCTAGCTAAACTTCATAAGAACCAACTAGGATGTTTACCATCCATTTGTCTTCCTAAATAGCTCAATCATTAAACATCTGAACAGCCATCAGATGAGAGGAGAATATTAACACGCATCATTTAAGACCTACTTTTAAAGAGTAAAAATGTTTTGGAATTCTATTTTTATTTTTAATCTTTAATATTTTGAAGGTGATCATTTTCAATTTTACATTGAAAAAGGATATTTACAGAAATGCTTTTTTATTGATTGTTTTTTTTTTTTCATTTGCAAGTTATTTAAAGCCTGGAATTATTTTTAGATTGTAAGAATTCTTTGGAAATAGTAATGATTTACAGATACAAGTCTTACTAATTAACTTATAACTGGGGAGAAGAAGAGATGAATTCATGTTTTTCCCCCTAAAGGAAATGTATGTAAGTGAAGATAATGGACCCAACTGGAATTGGAACTTGGCTCCGATTTCCAATTCTGAGCCATTATCCATTACACAACTTTTACATCCATGCTTACAACACCTTGTATTCCCAAGTGGTCACCCATCTATGTACTGACCAGACTTGACATTGCTTAACTTCAGTGATTGTATGAGAGCTGGTGTTTCAACATGATATGGCCATAAACCTACACAAATGCAAAGGTTTAGTATGTAAGTAAAGGAATTTACAGAACATGTCGTCATTTCCTTCTGGCCTCTTCATGATTGTAGCTTTGTGGATTACTTATTTCAGACTAAGAAATATTTTATTATAAGAAAAAAAAAAGATGATTATTTTGTGAAACACTTTTTCTTTTACTTTTTGCTGTTAAATTTTGACGTGTTTTGAAAAGTAAATATTTGCTTAAAACAAGAAAAAAAATTATCAGATGCAAAACTGATGCATCCTAAAGGAACAGAAATGATGCGAGTACTCTGTGTGTACCAAGTGTCACTAATGACCTGGCACTTTATGCCTGCAGGTGGTAGAGTAAAAGATTGTAAAATCAATCCAATGTGGTGAGTATTGGCACAAAGTTATGACAGGTAGGTAGGGATGATAATGTCTCCACAGGTATTTCAGTAACCTTACATTGAAATAAATAAGCAAAAATGCTTGGATCTATGTTGAGATCATGAAGCCCTGCCTATCTCCATGGTACATATACAAATAACCACACTAAGCATCGACAGCTTTTGTTTAGTATTTTATATATATATATATATATATATATATATATATATATATATATATATATATATATATATATAATTACTCTTTTTTGGATTAATTTCTTCTAAATTAATTCAAGAAATCCTTATTTGGATAATATCATTTCTCAAAAGTTTAGGACATTTTTTTTTCAATGATTGTTATTCATTTTTAACCAAGTCCTTGATTTTATAAAAAAAAAAAAAAAAAAAAAAATTACAAATAACGATCTAAAAGAAGCAGAACCTCCATCAACTTTTTAATTGAACTTGAAAGAGTGTGTGTGTGTGTGTGTGTGTGTGTGTGTGCATATATGTATGTGGGCATTTAAAAGAAAAATCATTTATGGTTTCAAAAGTTGGTTGAATACATTTTACCACTTTGGTACAATGTATTTTAAGAAGACAGAAAGGCAACAATACGACACATTAAGGATACCAAACAAAAATATTTAGCACACACAGAAACCAGGTAACTTCATTAGATTCTTTTTAGTTTTTATTTTTTTTTATTTTGTTTTGAAAAGCAAAAAAGTTTGTTGGTAATCCACATTTGACAATACATGCTTCTTTCAGAACTGTTCTAAATATTGTTAGGAATTTATTAATCTTTTCCTTTCCTCTCAAAACTATCAACACATTTACCTAAGATTTGTTGTTGATCTTTTTTTCAAACTGTATGAACCACACACAAACATTTTAGACATGGATTTTTAAAAAATAAAATCAGTTTGGCTGTATAACAAAATCTTACTTTGGATCAAAAATGCAAAAAACAAAGCCTCATCTAACAAAGTATATTTCAAAATGTTAAAAAATGCGTTAATTTTAGCCTGAAAAAGTGATTGAAAAAAAATTAACGAGCAGAATTAATTGTACAAGATGTTAGGTAAATTTAAAGTTTTTGTTTACATTAGAGTATTTTAAAATTTTAATCCACTAAAGATTATTTAAATGACAGAAATTTCTGCTGCATTTAATGGGTTAATATTTTGTAATTCCCGTTTGTAGGAGAGATTTATAAATCATAGATACAATAGTAATAATGCCTTTGAACAATACTCAGTCAGATGCCACTAATTCCCATATATATATATATATATATATATATATTTTATTATTTATATATATATTTTCCTTTACCCATCACATGATCTAATTATTTCAAGATGAGGTCAACTGTGGTTGCTCTCTGACAATCTATCTTCAAACAAGTGTTGGCAGTGACACGTTATTCCTATATAACCCCCCCCCTTTGAGATGATTTCCTCTGGAGTCTATATTTCTTCAGCTTCTGTTCAATATTTAGAAATTCTGTTGCTATTCTTTTTCTCTTACCACAAAACCTTGGTTCAATTGCTGATGGTGTGGGTATGTCAAACATGTCATACAAAATTTCCATTAGGTACCTCTTTTCAGAGACTTTAAATCAGTGAATCTGTGTTTTAACTGATTACAGTGTTGATTATATTCCCACATTTGTTCCTGTATCATGTATGTCATTTTGCCAATCTGTTTTTTTATAATGTCATCTTCCCAGAATTCTTTTCCACGTTGATACATTTTAAAAAATACCTCATCTCCTCCAGGTTCAAAGTATTTACTTATATTGTTATTTTTTGATGTTCTTGCCTTATGTTCTGGTAATAATTTATTAAAAATGGACTTAATCTTCCTGGCAAACATCAACTCTGCAGGCAATATTCTAGACACAATGTTCAAGTTTGATGTTATTCTGAAAACACTCAGAAATTGTTGTAGCATGACTTCATCTGACTTCTCTTCCTGCCTTTTTTTATGCCCCTTTTAAATGTATCAACAAACCTTCTGCTTGTCCATTTGATGTTGGATGATAAGGGGGAGTTGTAATATGTTCTATTGCTAATGATTTACAAAAACCCCTAAATTCACTAGATGTGAACTGTGTCCCATTGTCTGAACACCGGACCTTTCTAAAATCTCATGTAGGAAATTTATCATTACTGCAGTACTTGGTCTTCTACATTTTAATATTTCTGGCCATCTAGTGTAACTATCAACTACCACTAGATAGTATGCTCCGTTTAACGGTCCTACGAAGTCTATATGTATTCTGGACCATGGCATATCAGTTTTCGGCCAAGGTTGAATTTTGATAGGCGGTGACTTCGCGGCCAGAGCACAATCTCGGCATGATTTCACTAAATTTTCGATATCTTGATCCATTTTTGACCAATAAGTATAACACCTCATTAAGGATTTCATTCTAGAAATTCCTGGATGTCCTTAGTAAAATTCTTTTAGCATTCATTTTTTGCAACAATGCTGGTATCACAATTCTTTCTACGTACATAAGTATATTATTACATAATGAAAATGCATTATTGCCAGTAATATCTTTTCCTTTAAATCTTAATTGCTTCTTCATTTTCATTATAAAGTCATCTTTTTCTGACTTAATTCTTATTTCCTCCAATGTTATGAGCAGTTCTCTTATGTTATTGTATAATACATTATTAATTTCACTCTTGGTCCTTATCGCTGCAATTACTGTGTCTTCAAGCGGTTCACAGAATTTTGGTATTAGTCTAGATAATCCATCTGCATAACTTAATTTTTTGGATGGTAGAAACTCCATTTTATAATTATAGTTCAATAGGATAATTCCCCAGTGCTGCAGTCTACTTGCTGTATGTGTGGGAACACCCTTTTTTGATCCATGTGGACAATAATGAATGATGGTCTGTCTGTAGTATGAATTCTCTACCATGTATGAATTTATGGAACATTTTCATAGCAAATATGATGGCCAAAGTTTTCTTTTATATCTGGCTGTAGCTTTTTCAGCTGCAGTTAATGATCTTGAAGCATGAGCTATTGGTTTAGTTTTTCCATCCTCATATTTGCGTAGTATCACTGCTCCAATACCCGAATCACTTGCATCTGATGCAACCACAATCTTTACTTTAGGATCAAATTGAGCTGGTGACAAATCCAACGTTAAGACTTTCTTGATCTCTTTGAAAGCACTTTGGCATTTATCTGACCAATTCCATTTCCCATCTTTCTTTGGCAGTTTATTCAAGTGTGCTCTTAATTCATGCATGTTTGGTATATATATATATATAAATTGTGTGTGTGTGTGTGTGTGAATGATTGTAATTAGCAAACCCTAAAAATGCTTGTAACTTTGTTGAAGCACGCATATCTTTTATTGCACTTGCCCTTGAAGGATCCGGTCATCTACTGTTTTCATTGATAATTTGTCATAGATATTTAAGTCTGGACATACACAATTCACATTTTCCTTCACTGATCTTAAAACCATATTCTTTAATTCTCGCAAATACATTTTTTTTTACATCTTCTGTATGTTGCTTTTGGGTCTTACCAAAAGTATTGAGTTTTAGCTTTACAATATGTTAACACTGCTATTTTCTGGGGAGTTATTTTGGAATTTCTAATTTAGCAAATGTCCTGGTTCTTATTTCTGCGTCCTTATTAGAAGTTAAACCCTGTACAAATATTATTCATTCAAATAAATCCAGAGTCAATTCATTTAACTTGAACTTCTCACATTCTCAATTCACAACTCCGGCATAAGTGACAAAATTTTCATCATCGCATTTTACTAAGACATTGCCATCATGTATTAAATAATGAGCTCCCATCACCAAACATTTTTGATAGAATTACAGTTTCATCAAAATTTATCTCATCTGGGTTTTTTGGCAAAATATAATTCACATATTTTTTTTATGTTCAGCAGAGGATAATTTGCTTAATAATAAATGAACTTTCTTTTCATCATTCCAATGCAAACAATCCCTTTTGAAAATCCCTTCATATCTTCTATACTAAGTTGGAAAAGTTATCCCTTCGTCTGGATTGTATACACATTTGCTGATTGAATTAGCAACAGCATCTGGAATGAATGAATCTGAAGTCTTTTTTTCCGTAGTTTTAGTAAATCTGTTGTTGTTGTAATTACTGTTCATGTTGTTTTTGCTGCTGCAACTGTTGTTCATGTTTTTGCTTTTGTAACGCCAACATTTGAATGACGATAGCTTTTAGTTCTTCCATTTTGCTGTACTCTGCTGAATATTTTGTAGATTAATTTTTGAATAACTTCACCTGGTTATTTCTCTGTAGTCCTGCAAATATGATGTCTCTTTAATGAAGTGGTAAAATATTACTGAATATCCTATTACGACATGTAGGATACATATATTTTATTTTTCCCTCGTCAAGTTCAACGAATACTCGTCAGCACTTTTGTAATGCCTGTTTTTAGAAGAGACTTATAAATCACAGATACTAAGTAACACTTTCAAACAATACTCGGTCAGACACCACTAATTCCCATACATATGTATTTTTCCCTTACCCGTCACACGATCTAATTATTTCAAGATGAGGTCTACTGTGCTTGCTCTCTGGTGATCCATGTTCAAACCCAAGTGTTGGCAGCAACATTTTATTCCTATATGACATAATATTTTATTAAATTTAAATAAATGAGGAATGTTTTTATGTAAACCTTCATATATATATTTAAAAAAAAGTCAATTTGAGAATAAAAATGATTTTGTTCAATTTCAGGATAGTGTTTTCATATGGGTCTCTTAAAATAGGGATTAATAATCCTAGTGATAATATGATAAGGAAAGGCAATGTTTTAATTAACAGTGAATAAGAAGTTAATCTTTTTCGCAAATTACTTTTCCTTTGAAGGCTGTCTGTAGCCAACAGAAACATTTGACAGACTCACTATAATTAATGTCAGAATTATATCATTACAGTATACCATAAAAGTGAAACAGACATTTTTCTGTAGGATTAGGCTATTTAAATATCAGTGTGTTTGTGTTCAGGAGCTTACATAATTTCATTAATTCTAAAATTTTTAAATATTTATAATACATCTGGTATGTCTATTTTTAAAGTTATTTCTGCATTGCTGATTTCTTGTAATAATTAAAGTTTTTTTTTGTTTTAAGATTCATTGATCATGATGATATAAATTCATATTTAATATAGATTAATATATTTTAGTGCATAAAACATGTGAATCAAAATGATTGCTGCTTACAGTTAACACTTCAACTTAGGAATAGTAGAAGAATTTCAAGTAAAATCTTCTTTCATGGGTCTACATTATAAAACAAACAAGATTTGAAAGTAAAGAAAATAAACATTTTCTTATTGAATGATGAAATGAATCCAATAATTTATGTTTAAATTTAAAACTGCAAATTTACCAGAAAATAATATAAACTTTAATAATTTCACATTATTTTGCAAGATATTAAAATCTGATTTTCAATATAATTTGTGTGTGAGTGTGGATCACAAAGCAGATAAAAAGTGGGGGAAAAAAAATTACATTTCTACACCACCAATTATCTCTCTCCATTTTCTGGCAATTTTGTTTTAATCTTTCTAGAATCTCTTCCTGCTCATACACTACCCCTCAACTTTCTTCTTCCACTGTTGATTGTATTCTTTTCTTTTTATTCCCAGTTTACATATCCATTCCATCACCTAACCATTTGGATAATCTGACAAAATATTTAACTCAAGGCATTGGTGCATTCAAAATTGGCTGAGAACTGAAAACATTTCCAAGATTTGAAGGTTTTTTTTCCCCCCCTTCTTACTATTTATGAGGAATCTATATGAAAGTTTTATCTTACCTCTGGGATATAAAACTGACCTGTCAGAGGTTACACCCATGGAACTGAACAAAAGATAAATATTATACCCAAGTTTTTCTTTAGATTAATGGCTTTAATAATCTTGATTTACTGCTTTTGGTTTTAAGGTAATTCCATATCTATAAAATTCTTAAATTTGGACAATGAATAGATAATATCCAAAGTTCATTTAATAGTAAATGAAACATTCTTGTCTGCCTACAAGGAAGGTTCTATTGACTTTTACCTGATTGCAAACTAATTATCAATATACTGTGACATTATTAAATTACAAATAATCAAAGATACATCACAAACTGCAGTGCAACATTAAATTCAGTGATTGGAACATGCAACTATCAAGAGAACAACAACAACACAAATACAACACAACATTTAACAAACATTCAATAAAGAACAGCCATTCTGGAATGAAAGTGATTTTGGTTAATATTTTAAAGCAGTTATTGTTTCAAATAAACATCTGTAATTCTTTTTGCTATTGGGTGCTGATTTTTTTTTTCCTTATGAGAATACAGAATAACTTGGCTTGGTCAGTTAAACTGAACCATGCCATATTTTTTTAGTAAGCAAAATGAAAGCTAAAACATAGAAAAGAAGAATTTTAATTTTAGATAACAAAAATATTATAACATTACTTTAAGATTAATCTAACTAGAAAGGTTGAACCTCACTAATCTGGGAAGACTAGCTGATTTTCTGAACCAATGAAGAAACAATGCATAAAGTCTAGACCAATTCTAACAAACAAAATCTATCCAAAATAAATCTGATAAATACTTCTTTTGTCATTGTTTGGTTAATTATTCAGAATTATTACTATTTTTATAGCAAAATTTCAGTCAATACACAATCAAATTATTAAACAAAAATTTTCAAAAAATTTGAAATTAATTGAAATATTAAAAAAAGAAATGGTTGCAAAAGAATTTTTTTCTTTTTAGACCCAAGCAAATAAGTTAGCAAATAGAAGTAAAAAGTTGCCAAGAGCATTATTTTACTTTATTCCAAAGTAAAGAATCAATATGGATTCTTTGTTTTTGAAAATGGTAAACAGAATTTATTTTAGAACTCAATGCAGACATAATTGCATCAGTAGAATAAATTATATTAAGCAGAAAGGTAATTATGTGAAAAACATTTTCAAAAGTTTTGAGTGAAAACTTTTGTAATATAATTTTCATATTTTATCAAGTACCGAGAATTTTATGAAAACTCAATAATGATTTTGATTTTTGACAGATTTTTAGAAATGAGATTTTTGTGTAAACATTTTCTGATGCAAATTAATACAATTCTTTTTGTTTACAAGTAAACAATTTTTCATACTTTCATTTTTCAAAATATTTCCAGTTCTGCAAAGTGTACAGTTTTTATATCAGAATTTTCTCGGCTTTTTTTTTTCTGAGACATGATGCAGAGATTTGGATAAAATTAACTTTTATACAAATTTAATTCTCTTATCAATACATCAGATGCCAATTTCTTTCCAGAATGTTTTGTTTATATCTAAATAACTGCTAAATTCAAATTACTGCTTGAAGCATCAAAGATACCAAACTAGCAAGGTTCAAGCTGTACTTGTAAAACAGAATTAATTATGGTAATAGAAGTTAGTAGTTGCAGCTAAATAATTATTTTGTCCCTTCTTCACAAACAAGTAACAAATAAGAAACATTTATTCAAGGGTAGAAAATCCTATCTTTTAGGTGCACATTTAAGCTGACAAATGGAATAATTCTATTTCATTTGAAATTGAATGAATTGTAATAAACAATATTTTATAAGCATATTTCTCATTACTGTACAAAATATTAATATTATCTACTGACTATAGACATACAGTCAGTTCAACGCTTGTAAATAGTCATTAAGAATTAAATATTTTTTATAATGAATAATATTATTTACTTAAAACCAGTAAAACATTTTCATTACAGAGGAATCAAAACATTTTTATTCTAATTCAGCATTAATTTCCCAAATAAATATACAGTGACATTATTTTGATAAAAACAATATAAAAACCATTGTTCATTCTAAATATCATTTTTTAGAATTTTACTCAAAATGTTTCCAATCCTATTTATACATTTCTTAAAAAAGAAAAAAAAAACAACAAAATGGAGAAAAATCTTGTTAACTCAAGTTTCCATGACTTAATATCTATGATGAAAAGAGTTGGCCCTGCACCTACTTGGCATGTGGTATCAGATGACCTCACAGGACCAGCAGGAGGGGTCAGAGAGGTAAACTCCTCTTCTTCTGATGAAGGTTTTGTACTTAGGGTCTCAACCATATTTGGTAAGATGCTCTTGGTCTGTGGTTTATAATTCAGAGGTTCTGCTGTTCTGTGACACACACCAGCACTTTTACAAATTCTGTTTGCACCATCTGTAACATGCAATATTTTAATGGGATTATGGACATTTCTTTTTCCTTTGACTCTTAAAATACAGCTGAATTGGATTATGACCTTTTGGATCCCCCCCACCAACTTCAGACAAAGCCAATTTCTAACTCGCCTGCACTAGTTAACCCATATTTCAACACAACCGTAGTTAAAAAAAAAAAATTATAATCAACGTTATAACGTTATAACAATAAAACAATCAAAATAAATAAGAGTTTATCATATTGATATCATTTCAGTTTATGAAACTATTTAGATGTTATAACATCTAGAAAATTAAAATCATTGCTTTATAAAATCTTTTTAAGATTTAAACATTCTGAACTAAAATCAGACATTCTCTTCTTGAAACACAATGACACAAACATTCTTTTCCTTGCTTTGCTTCCTGCAAAGTCAAATAAATGAGTTGTTCATATTGGTATCATTTCAGTTTATGAAACTATTTAGATGTTATAACATCTTAAAAATTAAAATCATTGCTTTATAAGGGTTTGACAGACCCTAGGCTGCAGCTTATACTCGTCTAAAGGATAATCCGGCTGACTATAAGCTCTCCAATTGTTTTGATTTGTAGTCAATCCCAATTTGTATATTTAAGGTGTTGAAAACTGAAAATTTTAATTTTAAGGTATTTTCATACTTTTTACATCACTTTTGCTTACATTTATTTGATAACATTTAAAAACTTATCAAAATAGTAAAACTCACCATTTTTTTTTTTTTTTTTTTTTTTATTCAGAGCAAAATTTTAAGCAAACTCTTTGGAGGCTATCTTTAAAAAGCTTCTTTATAGGCCCACTAACATCATACAATATGGAAAGCATTTTGGAGGTTAGTTTGAAGATGTGCCTCTATATATAGTCTCACTGACATCAGTTGTTGTAAACAGAACTAATCGTTTAGAGTTCCATAATCATAAAATAACATATTTCTCAAATTCCTCTTAGACATGATTTATTTTTTGTGTATTCAATAATCAATAACTAGTATGTCAAAAAGCCAAAGGATGTAATCAAAAGTGATAAGAATTTACATTTGTAAAGTAGCAGCAAAAAAGTAAATATGTTAAAAGTAGGCAGACTGTAGTAAAACTTGAGAAGTATTTTAATAGGAGGGTATAATGGAGAAATGTTTGGTTAGGACTTGGTTCTCATCTCAAACTGAAATATCTCTATGTCAAGTATTCTTTTTAGACAACATATTAAACATTTGCTTCCCACAAATAAGTTACTTCCTATCTTCAGGGTTTCAAGATTATGTGCTCAATGCGAGAAAGAGAAAATCTTTTAAGCATAAAAAAAATAGCAGAAATTCAAGAAGGAAGATTGTTCCCATGACCAAAGTAAGATTCCTGGAACTTTACTGGAAATGCAAAGAAATGTAAAAGATTTTTTTTAATCATTTCACCCCAAGCAAGGCAATAAAACCATTAAGATGCAAGGGGTTACTGAGCATGAAAAAATATGAAAAAAAAGAGAAACATTATTCCAGAGACAGAACAGGAATTAAGAAGGCAGAAGATAATGATTGGCATTGTTTGAAAAATCAAAGTTAACTGGAAAGCAAGAGGCTGGCAGAGAGTTTCATAAGTGAGAAGTGCAAGAGAAGAAACTGTTAACATAGAACTTACAGTTACATTTAGCCATTAGTTTAAGAAAAAAAAAATCTCTTGAAAACTGATTCAAAGAGAAAGAAAACATTTTTGAATTGATTGCACCACTTTTTCAAAAAGAATAAAGATAAAGAAGATTTGAACAGAAAGATTCTGAAAAGCTGATGCCATATACTTTTATATTAAACTTAAATTTGATAGAAAATAGAAGAGTGATTATAATTGGTTAGAAAGTAAAAGTGGGTTTCAGATATTGATCTTTAATCATTCAACATCAAATATGGGAAGAAAAGCAATCTGATTAGGAAAGGATTGTCAGGCCTCTTACAGTCTCTACACAAACCACATGTTGACCACTCGACAACCAAACGCAGACTACGTAAATACATTTTTTGTACATTGGCTCCATGTTTACATCAGCTTTAACCAAAACAAAATTAATAATATATCATGACCAGTAAGAGCCACTCCCACTCAAAAACCAAAACATTAATTTTGAGCCGACTAAAAACTCTATACAGGATGCGATGGATAAATTGTCGTCTAAATTATGCAAAAATGAAAATCAGACCGACATCTCATTTTAACAGATATATTTTACACAAAAATATCTTGTAATACTAAAGAATAAATTTATTCAATAAAATCGCCATTGGCTTCAACTATGGCCTCCAGGCGACTTCGGAATATCCTCCAACACTTCTGGACAGTCTCCTTGTTAAGTTGATGTTACAAGGAGTTTTGTTGGTCTCTTGCTCAACTGCACTCCACACATAATTATTAAGTGGGTTGCAGTCTGAGGAGTTAGGTGGCCAAATGTAAGGAGTGATGTGGTCACAGAAATTGTCTGACAGCCATAACTGGGTTCTCCTGCTTGTGTGGCATGATGCAGAATCCTGTTGTCAGTCACAGAATCTTCCAGCAGTCACCTTCTTGACCCAGGGCAGCACTACCTCCTCAACGCACTTGATGTAGGCCTCTACGTTGAGTCGGAGTCCCTCGCCAACAAATTCTGGAATTCTTATCAGAATGATCAGAGTGAGTTTTCTGAGCTGCCGTTTCTTCATAATCACCATTAGACTCATCCAACTCTTTCTGAATCCTCTGCACTGTCCTCAGATTGACACCCAAATACTCTGAAATGTTCATATTGCAGCTTCTGGCACAAATGCCAAGTAGTACAGTATGCCATTTCCAAATTTCTGGTGGAATGAATTGTCATGATGCTCCTTTTCTCACAAACTGGGCCCAACTGACCCTACTATACTGTACAGTTGACAAAATCAAAAACAAACAACACGTATACGCAAAATAAAAAATATATAATTTACCTATTGCACACTGTATACCCAAATTCAAACAGACTCAACACAGATCAGCGTTTGATGTCAACACCACCTTAAAATATCCATTTCACTTCTAATTTCACCACTCTCTCTCCCTGTTGCCTTAGCAACAGATAGAAGTTACCAGTCTTTGTATATATGTAAATAATTTATTTATTTATTGCTACTCAATGTCCTCTTTGGTTTGACACTTGGATTTATGTTTGCTAAGGCGGAGAAGGAATTAACCTTCACATGAAAGTTCTGTCTCTCAGGTTATGCACAAAATAAACAAGAAAAGGTTTTTATATTGAGGAGAAGCTCAATATCCATAAAGAGAGAGAGAGAGAGAGAGAGTGAGAGAAGAGAAAAGGAATTGGAAAGCAATGTGGCTCCCGAGTCAGTTGAGTTTTAAAAGGAATGCACACATGATTTTCTGGTATATTATTTCACATAGGGGAACCTTCGAATGGGCAAAACAGGGTCATCAAGTAGGGAGAAAAAGCCATCATTGATAAATAAGCTCAGCTATAAGAAATTAAACAATCTTAGAAAAATCATCATCAGAAACTGGCCTGAGAAAAAGGATTAATTAGTCAGCAAAACAAGACAAGTCTTTTGCTTTTTGTCATTCTAAAGGGAGAGATGTTAAAAGTATGAAATATATGGAAAGACAGGGAACTTATTAAGAGAAAGAGGAAAATCTATTAATGGAAATTTAGTCTAAAGACATACATTTGTGTTAGTAGAAATGTTGTATTGGCATGATGTTCCCATGGTAATATTTGCAGGTGGCAGAACCAATACAACATTTTCAGTTAGAAGGAAAATCTAAAAAGAAGTGTAAACATAAAAATAAATCTAGATGCATTATTAGGAAAAAGCTTTTAGATATTTCTCAAAGCCACTAACAAAAATATGTTTCTGTACAGTATTTTTGTGTTTCTTATTATTTTAAACTTACAACGCTTTCTATATGAAATGTGCAAAGGTCCGCCAAAGGTTGATTCTCTTCTGTCATTGGTACCTGGAAAATAGTAATGTTATAAAATTGGACTGATTACGTAACGCACAATAGTAGAGAGTTATTATCAGCTAATGAGATCGGAAGAAGCGGGATGAAAGAGAGCACAAAGAATTCATATTGAAACAACTGGTAAAGTCAAATACAGAGACATTAAAGTAGCTGTTTGAGACAAAAAAAAATTCTTTTGTCTTAAAACAAACATTTGGTGAAATGCCTACAGCCAACTGCCATCTTTTTGGCAACCATGATATGTCTCTCAGAGTATTTTGCATAAAACATAACAGAAATTATCAATCACTTCAAACCAAGTAATAAATCAAGATATCTATATAAAATAATAAAAATGAATTAAATTTGTTCACCTATCTTATGAATATTTCTTCTCTGAGTTTCATGGGATCATATCCACACTTCAAGAGACTTGATGGTGAAGAGTAGCTGTGATCCCACAAAACTCAAGTGTAGAGGCATTCATAAGATATGAACAAAAATGTTATTTATTATTAATATTAATGCTTTTTGTTATATATATATATATATATATATATATATATATATATATATATGAAAAAAGCTTTCTTGAAGCTTTCATTTTAGTTTTAATTGAAAGCTAAAAGATTAGATTTTTCTATTTTCAGTAAGTAAAATGCTCTGGTGTATTTAAAACAGAAATTATGTTGATTGGAATTGATTTTCATTTTTTCTGTTTTTGCAAAAATAGCTGATTAGCGCCCTTTTTTAGTTGTCTTTCCTCGCAATGTAGTTCTCTTTATTAAAAAAAAAAAAAAAAACCAAAAACTTCCAAAACTAAAATATACTTTTCTGAAAATTTATTTAAGGAATATAAGCTGATTTAAAATATAATTAATCTGATTTGAAACAAATACTATTTACTTTAAGTTTAAAATAACACAGAAATATTTTTTCTAATTATAGTTAACCCATTTCTGCATCCATGCACCAATATACACTGATCTGTTTCTGCTTTTGGCCTTTTCTAAATTAGACAGAGATGAACTTTTCTTATGGGTTATTCATTCAAACAAGCCACTGCCACCTGGTGTCACCTGGACAAGGTGGATTAATAAAGTTATCTCCTTTTCACAGGTGACATCAGAAGTTACAGACATTACAGGCAAAAAATATACAAATACACTTGTTGTATTATGTAGTAAGATAAGAAAAATAGCAAGATGAGAATAGTAAAGGAAAATAGTAAAATGAAAATACTAAAGAAAAATAGTAAGTTAATACTGGATCTCCTGGTCAATATTTTAGACTGAAATAATTGGAAGGACAGGAGTGAATATAATAAGTCCAAAAGGAATAAGACTAAATTTAAAAAAACAAAATGAATAAATTTAATCTGAACTGGAATTTAAACTAACAAAGTACTTAGATCTTATATCATAAAGCATGGTTTTATTTTTAAAATAATAGCAAATAAGACTGTCCATTTGTCATCTCAGAAAAACTGATTCCCAATATTAAAAAGAAAAACCTGGATGCTGAAATATCTCAAAAGTATGTCAAGATGAAGATCTTGCATTTGATGAAAAGGAATTGATTGCCTTATCAATATAAAGCATTTCTATAAACAACTGATTCCAGTAAGAAGTTTGTTTTGTAAAGGATACCTCAAGTGCCTGAAAACATGCACAAAAAAAATTACATCAAAAAGAAAGATCAATACAAAGAGGAAATGTTTTCCTTTTTTCTTTTCAGTCATGCTTATACATACACATAACAACACGTCTCAAGCAATATAAAGACAAAAGAAAACATTCCTGTAATCATGCTTCAATATTAGAATAGGCAATTACCTTCACTCTGATTACTGAAGAAACCCTCGAATATCACAAAGTTATTCGTCTGAGGTATAGAATGACTAAGGCCGTAGTGCTTCTTCAGGAAAGAGCTGAATTTCAAAGAAGGCCTATCAATGGCCAATTGTGGTGGTTCCATCTTTTCATGCTGAAAATAGATTGCAAGCATTACTTCAGTGAAACAATTATTATTTGCACTGGTCGTGACTTTTTATGACTTTTTTTTTGTTTTATAATAATATTATTAGTACAACCATATTACAATAACATTATTATTACAACCAAGTTTCCTATGTCAAGGTTAGCCAGATTAAATTTCTGAAATGGTAGGTGAAGTCATTTTTCTTCCATTTCAGTTTTGAAAATGTCATTGTTCCATTTAATGTTGTGTGTGTGTGTTATTCATTAAGTGTGCCTGCTTTATAAAAGAGAGTAGAATTAATTCTTCTCCACTGTAAAATTTCCTGGGGGTGAAAAAATATCAGTAACAGCACAGCACTGCGATACACATACAGATGCTTGTGAAGACACAACCTGGGGTTGGAGGTCCTTGTTGAAGATATAAAATAATGCTGTGAAGCTGCCAAAGAAATTTCATCAGCACAAGTTTCATAAAAGAAGAAAATCTTCCAGGGGGGGAAAAAAAAAAAAAAGTACAGATCATCATTGATGATTATATGAACTGGAAAGTTCCAGCAGTAAATTTGGAATTCTCATTTCCCTTTTCCAGCTGAGATTACGTTAAGTGTCCAGCATTTCTGAGCTTGTGATCTGAATTAATGTAAAAAAAAAAAAAAAAAAAAAAAAGTACAGATCATCATTGATGATTATATGAACTGGAAAGTTCCAGCAGTAAATTTGGAATTCTCATTTCCCTTTTCCAGCTGAGATTACGTTAAGTCCAGCATTTCTGAGCTTGTGATCTGATCAATTAATGTAAAAAAAAAAAAAAAAAAACAGATCATCATTGATGATTATATGAACTGGAAAGTTCCAGCAGTAAATTTGGAATTCTCATTTCCCAATTCCAGCTGAGATTACGTTATATGAACTGTCCAGCATTTCTGAGCTTGTGATCTGATCAATTAATGTAAAAAAAAAAAAAAAAAAAAAAAAAATACAGATCATCATTGATGATTATATGAACTGGAAAGTTCCAGCAGTAAATTTGGAATTCTCATTTCCCTTTTCCAGCTGAGATTACGTTAAGTGTCCAGCATTTCTGAGCTTGTGATCTGATCAATTAATGTAAAAAAAAAAAAAAAAAAAAAGTACAGATCATCATTGATGATTATATGAACTGGAAAGTTCCAGCAGTAAATTTGGAATTCTCATTTCCCTTTTCCAGCTGAGATTACGTTAAGTGTCCAGCATTTCTGAGCTTGTAATCTGATCAATTAATGTAAAAAAAAAAAAAAAAAAAAAGGTTATATAAGTGATTTAAATATATTTCCTATATAAGTTAAATGCTCAGATTTTATTGCCAATTCTACTTTGGTATAATTGCCTTAACTCAGATTACCATCAACAGTAAAGTGGTGGTCCCCAAAAAAAGGACCCTCCCCCAAAATTTGACATCTTAGAGTCTAATAACATAGCCGAATTCTCGCTCAAATGATCTCAAATTTTAACAAAATGTGTCAAATGTGTAGACTTATCTCAATAAGAATATACCAGGAAGATGGATTGGGTGTGTCAGTGATAATGACAATGTGCTGTTAAAATGGCCACCATATTCACCTGACTTGACACCATATGATTTTTTTTTCTATAGGGCTATGTGAAATTACAGGTCTATATCACCCACTCTTCTTACGAGCCTAGAGGAACTTAAGCAGTGAAACACTGAGGGGCTGGAGAATGTTACGCAAGACATGCTACAGCATGTTTGGCAAGAGCTGGACTAATGACTTGATGTGTGTAGTGTCACAGGTGATACGCATATTGAACATCTGTGAAGCTTTGTGAAATCAGTTATAAAATCTACATCCTTTTGAATATCTTGTTTGAATTTTGATAAATATTTTATTGTCCAATATGAAGCCTATTTAATTTTGTTTGTCTGGGTTATGTAGTGACTTAGATATTCATCTTAAATGATGTCAATTTTTTTTGAGACTGGGCAGAGACTATATCTGCATGGATCTGGCATTCTCAAACTGTGATAGAAAATCAGATACTGTTGAGAAATGGTGACTGTCTGAAACTTTGTCTAACTTCAGGGTCACCATTTGATGAAAGTTTTCTGAGACTGCTATTTTTTTGTAGTAGCAGAATTTATTTATTTATTATAGAGTACTGAAATATAATTCATTTTAGATACAAGTAAAAACCAACAATAAAATAAATGAAAAAAAAATGGCTTCAATATGTAGTTAATTACTCTTTGGCATTTCTATCTTGTAGTCAAATTTTGGAAAAGAGCTGTAATCTCCTAAAGTTTATTATTTTCCAAGTGTTAATTTCCGTGTTATCAGCAGAGTGAGGTGAAATATGGTCCCAAGATGAGATATAGCTCTTCACTTTATCCAATCAAGCATTTAATTAAATTTGGTACGTTATATGGAGCTTTCAACAAATAAAAAAGAAGCAAAATTTTTTCTATTTTTCTTCAAGTTTTTGCTGATCAAATAAAAACATTTTTACAAATTGGCAAATAAAATTTTACAATATTTCACATTTAAAGAAAGAAAAAATCTTTAGTAAAAATGATTTAAAAAAATGAATTTGAGTTTGTTTTTTTTATGGTGATAAAAACTATTTCTTTAATGATGCTTTTCAGCTAAAATATTATATATTTTAGCTGATGTGTGTGTATATATATATATATATATATATATATAGCCCTGAACTATGTGAAGTCTTTAACCTATCTTGGTAGCAAGGTCAACAACAGTGGATCTTTAGATGATGAAATCATACTTCAGATTGATAATGCTATCAGTGCTTTCAGCAAACTTTGCCATCACTAGTGGGATGATTGACGTATCTGACTGGATACAAAAATTTGGGTTTACAGAGCTGTTGTCCTTGTTACCCTTTTGTACGGCTTAGAGTCGTGGACTCCATACAGGTATCATATATGCCAGCTGGATGCTTTTTATAAGAGTTGTCTGCATGTCATCTGTGGAGTTAGCCTTCAAAATAGGATATCTAATGTAGACCTGTTTAACAGGTGTAATATTGGAGTAATCAAGACTTTCCTCATACAGTCTCAGTTGCAGTGGACTGGTCATGTCTTGAGAATGTCTGATGACAGGATACCCAAGATCCTAACATACAGCCAGTTAGATCAGGGCTACAGGAATGTAGGACGCCCATGGGTAAGATACAAAGACAAGCTGAAAAGCAACTTGTCAGCTGTCAATATACCTCATAACACCCTTAGCCTTGGAGCAGGTAGAGTGGAGATCAACATGTTTTGGTGGACTCAGCAGTTTTCAATCTGCTAGTCTGAATCATCTTCAAGAAGCGAGAGGAAGATCTAAAAGGTCAGTCAATGTAACAGTGATCTCATCTAACAATCCTTACTCTTGCACCACATGTGGCCTCCTTTGTAAATCACTTGCGGGTCTTAAGTGCCACTTAAGATTATCAAACAAAATTCATGACTGAATCAATTGGTTAAGTTGTCAGATCCTCAAATGTTGAAACTGACGGGAAAGTCCATCATATATATATATATATATATATATATATATATACATACACCCCCCCCAAGTGTGAATATAAACTAAATAAAGTATTAGCAGCTGTATATGTATGCAATGTCGTGCAGATGAGCTATATATATATATATATATACACACACACACACACACACACATACAAAAGGTTAATGGTCAAAGTTGAATCAAACCAGGAAACAGTAGTATTAAAAAGTGTGTGAAAAAAAAAATATAAATAAAAGTAAAAATAACACAGAGCTTTTCCCATGGTCATGTATTTTAATTGACCTCTTGATTTTTAAAGTTATGTGTGCATGTATTTGGACTGCAATCCCTTTTTTGTACATGTTTCATTAAATACAACTGACAAAGTAGTGCAGTTAATATTTTTTTTATTTAATTTTTATTGTGTTCTTATAAATTTTCTTATTTTCTGGATGTAAATTATGTAGAAATTGTTGAATGTTCTGTATGTCCAAATGCTTTTGGCTATACTTTTAGCCATTATCAAGGATGATTTTATTTTTACATTTAACTGAATGTATGGATTGTTTTATGTATGTATTTAGATTTATGGTCAACACATTGTGGTCGTGTTCATAGTTGATATAGAGTGTTGGCTTTTTCTTTTTTAAATTAATAATGCTTCCATTATTTTTCAGCCTTTTTTGTACATGTGGATGAGGCTAGTATATTTGTATTATCCACAAATATGTCGGGATGGCGCTTGGTAGGTCTCCCTATGTATTTAAATGAGATCTAATAGAGCTATGGTCAGAGAGATGTAACGTGTGTCTTCTTGTTAGGCATGTTGTAGTATATCCAATATAATTATTTATGAATGTGGATGGATCATGAAAATAATTTCTTAAAGGACAGGTGAATTCGTAAATAATATTACTTCTCTGTAATTTGGATCTTGCTTATTTTTCACAATGCGGTTAATCATCTCTTAGAAACATTATAAAGAAACTCCAGTCGATAAAAAACAAGAAAATTATTTATTATAAAAAATTTAAAACTGCTAACCTCACTAAATTAAAATAAATAACTCGCAGTATGTTGTCAGTCATTTTTAATGAAACTTGTAAATGTGCAAAATGTGAGAGATAAGATTGTATTGCATCAATCTTTCAATGCCTTGAAATCCTAAGCCTCAGTTTTAATTTAATAAAAGGAAGAACTAAGATTGTTGCAACCAAACATACCATCAGCATGTAGTCATAAAGTCGTTTTCCATAACCCTGCCTCTGGTAAGATTCACGAATGTAGAAGTCTAAAACACACAGTGGCTCTCTCTCATGCATTTCACCTTTTAGGTCGTACACGTAGAGTTTTTTGAAACCAATCTTCAGAAACCCAATTGCTAATCCATAGCCTCTGCAAAATAAACAAAATAAATGAAACATGGAAATTCCATATGTCATAATATCTCCAAAGAATATTAAATGCTCAGTTTTACACATGCTACAAATTTTGCTCAGATTTTTAACAACAGATATGCACTACAATGTATATTGAAGCAGTACCTAAATCTAGTGACATACAGAACCGGTTACATTTAGATAGTACAACAGTAAAAAAAAATCAGACCTAGATGCCAATCTCATAGTATGCTTAAATTCATGTAGTTGACATACCAAGGAGGAAAGAGCTCATTAGAAGAATGAAAATATTTATAGAAAAGACAGGGAAGCCATATCACAATGGTAGGAAAGTGACTTAAGTGCATTACAGAATCTTCTTTGGGTTTTCTCAAGAATCTTTATAGCAGGGGCTCTAGACCAGATGTGGCAGCAGTATTCAATCCACAGACAAATGGTAGATTTATAAATATACAAGATGGATCCTGACAAGGAAAATTTTCTGGTACAACACAGTGAACCAACTTTCCTAACAGTAGACCTAGCAATTGATTCAATATAATCACTCTACTTCAAAACACTTCACTCCACTGGAAAACAATCTCCAAAAGGCGCAAAGAGTTGCCCTTCTGGAGGTTAACATGCTGATGGAAGGCAGAAATGGATCTCTATGTTAATTAAATGATAATAGTTTTGTTTTTGAGACATTCAAATTTACAAGTCATTTCTCTTCTCATTGATTGAAGGTCATTTTCAAGTGCAGATATCAATTTTACTTTGTCAGGCCTATTGAACATGATACTAAGACAATAGTAGATACAAATGAAAGAATGATTCATTCTACCATAGATCTCTCCTGTTATGCTACAATTCTCTAACAGACAAGAGCAGAATTAGAACTCCAGTTTCGTTTACCAAAATACAGATTCACATTCACACCAACTTGTGTGACTGTAGGGTGCTTGTACAACAGAGTTAAGAGATTGGATGCCCTCCTGTTATGGATGCTAGGGGTCAACATACTCTCTGCCCTCCTATATTACATGCTACTGATGTGGTAGCCATTTTGTTTATCTAGCGAAGGCAGAGAATCTAATTTTATATTTCCCAGAAGATTACATCATAAGCTTTCAGGAAATAAAAAGTGTGCTACAGCTCTTTCTAATAATGTCAAAAACAAATCTTGTTTAAAAAAAATTCAAAGATTTGGAGGTTGAAGGTTTTTTAGGCCCCCACGTAAAATATAGACAATGCAATTTCTGTCTGAATTTCTGGAATTATTATTTACATTAGTTACAGTTGAATTAATATCCTCATCTTTGTAATTATTATCACAATGTTTTGGCCATTTGTGTTCTCTGGTCTTCAAGTGCCTGATGATCCAGTTAAGCTTTGAAGAATTTCAAACTGAAACCTTTATTTAATGTATGAGAACAGATTTTTCTTGTTCCACTGTCCATAACTAGGGATATCTTGTCTTGCTCTTTTTCTTGTAGATTAAATAAAGCATTTACTTCAAAATTCCTTTAAGGTTACGCATATCAAGAGAGACACCTGATGAAAACCAAATGACACAATGGATGAAACATTGTGATAGCAACAACAACAAAGATGAGGACATTAGTCTGTAAAAAATGTAAATAGACAATGTAGTTTTACAGAATGAAAAAGATCAAAGTTAAAAGCCAGTTAAATGTCAAAGGTTTTACAAATAAATAACATTTTATATCCATCCATTATCAATCACATCAACTGTAGTCAGAATCAGTCATTGTGAACACCCACAATGTTGTTGTTAGCTGCAGAGCATATGTTTTTTTCAGGATGACATGTGATTTTTGAATTAAAAATTGTCTTTTTCCTAGACTAGTTGCAGTGACCACTTGGGAATCCCAAGTGCTGTAAGCTTGGATGTGCAGCTGGTGTAATGGATAACAGCTTTGAATTGGAAATTAGAGAGCAGAGTTCCAATCCCAGTTGGGTTTGTTATATTTACTTATTAGTTTAAAAGCTGCACTCCATGTGAAAAAGACTTTCACATAGGAACAGCACACATACAGGATGAATGCAGTCGAGACACTAGAAATACAAAGACAAACAAATTTGAAATAACGCTGGGTAACACTAACAAAAATCTTTAGTAACACATGCCAATCCCATTGTGTGGTCAATGTGGCATACTGCTAAGCTCTGCACCTACCCAGAAAATGTGTCTGCTTTTATGGAGCCTAAAACCTTAGCGGTTGGCTAGCAAAAGAATCATTTACATAGCTAACACTGCTCAGCTCATTGTCTCAGCTATCTCCTGGGGAAGCTGGTAAACACTTTCTTTCTTCATAACCAGATGTTCCCAGTTCTGTTCTGGCATGGTAGTCATGTGCTGTCTTTTTGCAGAGATAGCACACTAAACACGGTCTCTGATCAACAGAAGCAGGTATTTTTATCAGTAACAATTGGCTGCTCCATCTGCATTTTGTTTCCATGACAAACAGAAAATTGTGGTGAGCCATCCTCTGGGGACATGGCACATAGAGAGAGAGAGAGAATCTGAACTGAACATACTGCATTTTCTCTGAATTTCTTGATCATTTTTGTAAAATAAAAATCAATCTGTCTGTTAAATAATAAAGAATACTTACCCATTTCCTTCTGGATCTTTAATCAAATACATGAAGTGGTCAGATGAAGCCAGTTTGCTGCTGCTAGTCACTGCAGCATGCAGATGCTGGGCCTACACAAAAGAGAATTTTTTATTTTGAATTCTGAGAGTTCTAAACTATTGACATGTTAAGTAGGAGACTTCTTGCAAGAATAACTTATGTTGTACAACAGTTGGTAAAGAGATGCTACCAAGTGTCTATACTGTCTTTTGTATTGGAACAAATTTGGCTTTAATTATTGATGCCCTTAAAGACATGAGTTTACCCATTCTACTTCTTAACTTATATACACCCAGAATAACTTAATTGTCTGAAAATTTCAAGAGGCAATGCCACACAAAAGTATAGTTGACTATTTACCTGGAGGAAAATCAATTGGCTTTTAGTGAAAGGGTTTCTGTCACAAAAGCTGAGCAATTGATCAAAAACAGGGTCAAAGAGCATTCTTCTGTGGCAGACAAATACCTATAGATGATTGGTATAATAGGATTGGTTGGATCACAAGTACAATCAAACTCAGTGTCACTCTTGTTCCCTGAATATAACTAACTTTAGAGTTGAATTCAGATATAAACTTGATTTGCTCCCAAAATCTTTTATACCAAGTCTTTTGGTAACTTAAGAAATTTCTTTTCAATCATTTTCACTCCAAGCAAGGCAATAATGCCACTAAGACACAAGCGATTACTGAGTGTTATAGAGAATATGAGAAAAAAAAAACATTAAGGAGAGAGAACAATAAAAGAACAGAAATTAAGAAAACAGAAGCTAACAATTGATGTTGCATTTAAATTTTTGAAGAGCAAAGTTGACTGTAAAACAAGAAGCTGGAAGAGAGTTCCACAAGTGAGAAGTGTGTTAGCATAGAACTTATGGTTACATGTAGCCATTTCACCTGTAAAATAAGACCTTGCCAATCTAGTACTGTGCATAAATTTGTAAATTCTAGGTACCAAATAGGCAAGCTTATCAGAACCATGAATATATTTATAGAAAAGGCACAGAGAAGCTATGTTATGATGGTGGGAAAGTGACTGAAGTCAAGATGTCAGGCCAGGACCAATAACATTGCAGATTCTTTGTATTTTATCAAGAATCTATAAATACATAAAATACAAAGAAGAATTAACAATGTTGTTGGTTCTGACCTGGCATCTCAGCTTTAGTCACTTTTCCACTGTCATAATTTAAAGTTAACTGTCCTGTATGCATAGTATTTCTCATATTTCTTTACCAACTCTCACTATTATATTATATATATATATATATATATATATATATATATAAATAACCCTGCATTAAGTTTAACGCAGGGTTATATAAATATAAATTTAAAATATAAAATTATTTGAAGAAGGAACAGAGGAAAATATACATATATTTTTTATTTATTTATTTTTTTAATAGAAAAGTCAAATTTTCAGTTAGAGCAAATGCTAATCTAAGGCAATTCAAACATTGTAACAACCTTCACAGATACTTTCAAAACCATTATGGTTATGCTCAGATCCTCAAACACTAATAGCAATAATATTTCTGAAGCAGGCATTTATAAAATAAATTGCCAAGACTGTTCCTCCCAATATATTGGAGAAACAAACAAAAATTAAAAAAATGCATCTATGAGCACAAAAGAGACCCCCAAAAAACAACTAATGCATTAGTCATACATAGAAATAAATTCAACCACAATTTTGATTTTAAAAATGCTACACTCATAAAAAAAGAAAATAATTCACTCAGAAGGAAAATCCTCGAGAGAGTGCTGCCATTGAATATTATCCAAATATTAATCTACGCCCAGGCTTTTTCCCTATATCACCTTTTGTAACAGAATTACTATTCTCCCAAGTAAACGTACACAACTGTATCAAGAAATCAAAAGAAAATGGTTAAATCTATCAACACGACAATAAAAACAATATTTCCTCACGTGATAGTACTTGACATAATTTCCAATTGACAATATGAAGACAATAGCATTTTCTAAATTCTTCCAGCTGCTAAGGAGATTTTATTTTGTTAAGAGTTAATAGAATAGTTACTTTGTTTTAATAAATTCATTTTGTTTTTGCCTTGAAAAAGTCCACATTGGATGAAACGTGTTGGCTAATAATACAGTTTTCCTATTGTCTTTTACCTTTATAAATACTGATATATTATATAAGTACACATGAATACATACATGGACACAAATATATAAATATATACTAAATAAATATATATATATATATATATATATATATATATATATATAGTGTAACTCAGATATAAGAGAGTTGTTGGGACCGGAGAAGAAGTCTCTTATATCCGGGTTTGGTCTATTTTATATACATTAACACGGGCTCTAATTTGGGACCAGAGAAAATCTCTCTTATATCCGGGTTACACTGTATATATATTTATTGATATAAATACAAACATATTAATCCACACTCCTACATATAAAAACATACAAGTGCAAATACAAGTATCTAAGTGTATACTCCCATATAAACAAAAGCAGAAACATATATACTTACTAAAAAATATACAGTCTTATGTAAATGACTATAATGAATTCAGAGCCCATTCAAAATTAATGTATAACAAATCGCAGCTGTTTGGTATTAAGTCAACAAACTATTCTAAATTAAATTGATATTAAACAAATATACATTATAGTTAGCATCAATAATCCATTTAAAAATACAAGATATACACACACACACATATATATATATATATATACACACACACACACATACATATATGTGTTTGTGTGTGCATATACATATAAACATACATATACATTACATCCATACATACACACACACACAACATTGCAAAGTCATTGAAAATATTACTACCCATTTTGTAAGTTAAATTGTGAGCTATGTTTACAATTAACAGGGAATTCATTACTTTGATGTAAGAGATTGATCTTGTCTTTAAATCTAATGATCTTGAATTTTTCTCTGATATAGATAACAAGGGGTATATAGAGAATTACATGCTCAAGCCCTATTAATTAATTTCCATTTAACAGTAGGTGTTTTGTTTTTCTCTTTTAAACTCCAAAAATACTTGGACAATGAAGTCCTGTATTTATGATTACTATTGTTAAAAGATTGTACTTGTTGCTACCAACGGTTTTTGAATGTATTCATAGTACTTCCAGTGTAAAATTTTTTAATATTAGGGTTCCCACATGTAGAAATAATATAGTTTATTTCAGTTTTAATATAAAAGTAGGTTTAAACTTACAAAAGCCAATGATCCATTAAAAAAAAAGACAATGATAAAGAAATTATTCAACTAAATGGTTCTATAGAAAGAAGCTGAGGATATCATGGATCAAACATGTGAGCAATGACAAGGTTTTAGAGAAAATGGAAACAAAAAGGAAATTTATATTTAACATCATACTAAAATATTCTCGTCACTTTTTTTAATTGATTCACCCAAAGAAAGGCGATAATTCCACTATGACATACGAGGTTACAGGGAGTGAAAGAGAATGAGAAGACTTTAGTGAGAAGAGGACAATAATGGAAAGGGTTCAGGGAGACATTTAAATTTGTGGAGGTTGTAGGTGACAGGGAAGCAAGAAATCAGAAGAGAGTTGCAGAGGTGAGAAGTGCGAGAAAAGAAACTGTTAGAATAGAAGTGGCAGTCGAATCAAGCTAGTTCAACAGTAAAACAGTGAGACTTAGTTGCCAATCTAGTAGCAGGCTTAAATTCATGTAGTAATCGATCACCAGGGAGAAAATCTCATCAGAACAGTTGCCATGAAAATATTTGTAGAAAAGATAGAGGGGAGTCGCATCATGTTGGTGAGAAAGTGACTGAAGTCAAGATGTCTGGTCAGGATCATTTACATTACAGACCATTCTGTGAATTTTGTCACAAACCTTGACATATACAGCAGGAGCACTAGACCAGATATGGCAGCAGTATTCAATGCATGGACGAATGGTAGACTTTCAAAAATTTCCACAAAATGGTAATTCTGTCAAAGTATTATTGAATTATGAGGCATAAATGTTTGAAACTTTTCAAATAATAAGTCATCAATTATAAAAAATTCTTACCTTAGCTGAGGCATTTCCTAATCCGTCAATGATCAGGTTTATTTCTTTTTGACACTCATCGAACCTTTAAAGAAATTTCTGGAATAATATCTTGCAGAAAATACATTAAAAAAATAATTTTAATTTGATAAGAATAGAATTGTTATCAGTAAGCTAATTTAACCAGCATAAAAAAGCTTTTAAGGAAAAACAAGTGGCCAGCTTGTGAAAGCCTTTAGAAACAAATAACTTGCTTGCACATAAATGCTTTCTCTTGTAAAATGCATGATAATGCTGAGTTAAGAAAGGTAATAAGATTTTAGTATTAAAAATAAAGAGGGAGTCATTAAATAAACTTTTCAACAAAACTAAATATTTTTTTTTTAAAAATATAAATGTCATGCAATACTTACTCTCTCTGGATGAGGTTTGGAGGTCTTACCCTGTTGTCAATTTTAATAATTGGGGCCTTAAAAAATCGATTGAGATCAAATGGGTAAGACATTTTTTATACAAAACAAATTAAACTTGATAAAGTGAGACTGACTTATCACTTGATGAAATTTATTTCCAATAAAAACTAAAAATAATCTGATGTATTTTTCAATATTTGAACAGGGCAATGGAAAAGGTAAGGGCTGAAAATCTTGCAAATGCAATCAATATATTATGAATGTGTGGCTGTTCCTTAAGGTACCGTATCCATATTTGTTTTGTCATATTCCTGAAAGTAGAATAAATGACAATGTCACTGATCTGTAGTTTTGAAAACAACATGCATAGACATTGAATTTTATTTATTTATATTTACATTTATAAATAAGTCACTTTTAGTGATATTATTCTGAAAATTATGGAAATAAATAGTAAATGATAACAAAATCAAACACAACTTGCTTTTTGTTCAACAATTAAGTGCATTGGATATTTCTTTTGTTATATGCATCCACAGAAACAAGGGAAGGATTTCTATATATAAGAAGTCTTCCAAAGGTTTTAAGCTTATAATGTTTTTTTACACTGATTACAAATTATTATTTATTTGGCTGCCTTAATATAACGTGTGCGTGTATGATTTGGCTATTTACCCATTAACATTTAGCACTCTGTAGGTGACTATTTTTGCCAAGGAAAAAGGTTAGTCCTGCTAATGCAAGATGAATTTGAATTTCTTGGGTGTGTAGTCATATCCTTCTATGGCAACACCTAAAACAATCTTGACTGAAATTGAGAGCCAGGCTACAGCAATTTCAAATATATGGAACTAATATATAAAACACTATATTTTGAGGAGATACCATATATAGTAATAGGGGAAGTAATACTTATAAATGATGCAGAGTGCTAAATGTTATGAACTGTTTCACACAGTGTGATTTTCAAAATGGGCATTTGGCATTGATATCCTTTAATGTTCTCAAAATTCTAGTTCTTTCAAAAGCAATGTGTCCAAGGATACCAAATGGTCATCTTGAAAATCACTAAAATGCATGTAATAGTCTGTTAATGGGTAAATAATAAAAAAAAAATGTTATTGTTATGTGTATTAAAAAGCTATTTGAAAAGTATTTAAAATAGAGCACTCTTTATACCCAAGAAAAGGAATGTACAAATCATATATAAATTATGAATTAAATTTCTGGTGCACAGTGACTGAACACAACTGTCAGTTTAATGTTTACACGCATGTGTCAGGCAGTCAGAACTTAAAGTAGTGAGACAATTCAGATATCCTGGTTTGATTATCAGCAAAGAGAGCTCCAGAATAAAATTATTTCAAGAGTAGTTGTTAGCTGTCACAAAACTAAACACCATCTGGCCAATCATTATTGCAGATGCTTGCTCAGGCACATTTGTTTTTGCTCAGCACCCACAGAGCCCACCTGTGGTTTATACTGTAACTATGCTGAGCAGGCCTTAGTTACAGTTTCTGGGAGAGAGCGTGTTATCTAGCATAATCAAAAATTTGAACAAAGCCAGCACACTCAAGCCCTCAGTCGTGATGACTTGTGGTTTTGTGCTAGCACAGCTATTGACGGCCCTCAAGAGTCCCATCTACCCAATTTCATTCACAAGGCTTGTTGGATCAACCTGTGGTATGGTTTTCAGGCACTTTCCAAAGATGCTGCACTGTGGGATTGAGCTTGATCGATTGCTATAATATTAGGAATTCTCTTTCCTGACAAATCCACCATGGTGAGATTTAAACCCGGGTTTCATGGTTAGAAAGCGAACATTCTAACCACTTGGCCGCGTGCCCATAACATATATATATATATATATATATATAGCACAGGTTATGTAAACCATCTGAAAGGTTAGCATAACAACCAGAAGCAAGCCAACTATGGCAACCTGCTTCAATGTCCCGCTGACAATACCTATGTTGTTTGCAATAAGTTTTGCAAGTCATCATCTGGACCAAGGCAACACAGGATGGTGCACATAGTTGTGACATGCAGATCCAATTGACCAAACCAAGGATACAGAGTTTATCTGTGAGATGTGCTTGATGTCTATGAAATCGAATGCTGGTCTTATAAAATGTCTTAAAAACCTAAACAATATATCATCAGCTTGAGATGTAAAGACAAAAATGAAAAAAAATTGAAAGAAACATTCAGCAATACTTTTAAGAACAAAACTGAAATACTTACTTTACAAAAAAAAAAAAGAAAAAAAGGGGGTCAGAATAACACCGAAGAAATAATTTGATGCTCCAGAAAGAGAAGCATCATTGAAGCACTAGAGTGTGTGTTGCTGGTGACAAAACAAAGGTCCAGTCTTAAAGGGGTCTTCTAGTCTCCTGATTTGCAAACCAACTGTCAGGGAAAACAAAGGTGGCACCATGAAAAAAGGAAAACAAAAATAATTTTAAAAAAAATGACTATTTCACTAGGAATACAAGCAACCGATCTATTGCAGTCTGTTCATATCTAAATAGCATGTTTTTCTTTGGAAATGATTAACTGTAAATTTTTAGTATTGCCTCCAAGTTGTTTCTAACTCCTGAAATTGTGATTAAAATGTGAGCACATGTACACACGCTTCATGAGAACAATTGTATATTTCATACTGATGCCAGTCATCAGTAGAAGAGCCTTGGTGAAAGCCCAGATTTTGGATATTGGTCTTCAGTGTCGGATTTTATATATTATTAACCCTTGAGCATTTAATCCACCCAGTAAACACCAGTTCTCAATATCAACCCATTATAACCCACCCCATGTATACTCTGCCAATATATCTGATGACATCATCACAAATAAGGCAGGAAGTTATGCAAACAGTAAAACTTTGAAAGCCAATATTTACATGGCAGATTTGAGCATATCAAATGCTAAAGTGTTAATGTGTATTAAAATGGAAAATGAAGAAATTGGGATATTTTAATAAAAGACGTATACATTTTTTAAAATTCAGACTAATATATTCATCTTACAATATTTGTCTATTTCTAAGAAGAGATATTGTCACTATTTATATTATTCAGACTATTGTTCTCGTCTTTGTCATATTCACAACATTTCAGTCATTGTACACTCCAGCCCTCTTCAGGTAATATACGTTGGAATTTTGAACCAAACACTTTATTTCATTCACTGGGGTAGATTGTTCTATTTTCATATGCTATGCCTTTTCTGGATATCTCAATTTCAGTTATTTTCCTTTTGTATTTCAATTCTCCAAGTTTTTGTTCCCCTCTGCTGTGGCCAGGTATTGAACTCATGACTCTTTGGCTTAAGTCACTGGATTACTGGCCAAGTGGATAAAAGCAACGGTTGAAGTAAACAAAACAAAGGGTTCAGTTTGAAATCCCAACATATATCACCTGAAAAAGGCTGGAGTGTACAATGGCCAAAACGTTGTGAATATGACAATAAAGAAGAGGACAACAATCCAAACAATGTAAATTGTATAAACAGTCCTCATCTATTTTTGTTATTATCATAACACCAGCTCTCTGGATTTCTTCAGGCACCTGTTGATCCAGGTAACTTTCAGGAAACACTTTATTTAATCTTGTTCTGCTGTCCATGTCCAGGGATAGATCTTATTTTATTTATTAGTGCTCAGTTATTGCATGCCTTGTTTTAATTGAGTCTAACTGTACTACTGGACATTGACAGCAGAATTATAGCAAAGAATTCAAGCATTAGAAAAGAGATGCTACAAAACCATCTTAAGCATCTCTTGCACAGACTGCATCAGAAATGACAGTACAAGACACCATGAGGCAAGAAAGAGGCCTGTTGGAAGACCTCATAACTACTGTCAAGAAGAGAAACTTGAAATGATATGAAGACATCATAAGAGTCAATAATCATCCCACTGGTATGCTACAAGATATTACCTTAGAGAAAAGAAGAGGTAGACAGAAAAAATATGGGCTGATGTCACTATGTGGACTAGCAAATCTGTCACAGAGATGCAGACATTGGCAGGCAACCCTATAACCATACCTGGTCATGAAACTGATGATAATGTAGATGATTCTAATTTACAGATAAATTTGTAATGTTATTTACAATTGAACTCAGCACAAGTACTGAACTATTTGGGAAAAGAGGTGAAAGGGAATTATTGTTACGGCAATCTCTCAAGCTTTGAAAATCAGCATTTACAATCATGTCTTTTTTCCTACACTCAAACATTGACTTAGTGTCAATTACAAAATAAGCAATTACTTGACCCACCAAGCAAACCCTGGAAATGTCTATTTTGTATGTATCTTTTCTGTTAATTCACCACAAACAATATAAAGTTCCTTATTGCAAATATTAATTCACATTTCCTAAGTGCGGATATTATTCAAAGTGTAATAACTACCACCACCATTACATACACACAGTACATAGAAATCATGCGACAAGCATTCATTGGTTGATCTCAAAACTAGCTCGCTGATTGGTCAGTTCAATCAAACCACCTGCACCCGACAAATCTGTTTTCCCGCTCAATATGCTCTGAGCCAGTCATGTGATACACCATCTTATATAAACAAAACATTAGTGGTTCTCTCTCGTCACTCTTGTATCTAAATCCTTGCTGCCAAAATGTGACCTTCAAGAACTCCCGTCTTAGCCATGCGGTCAGACGTTAAAGAACATTACCATTTCACACAAGTATGAACTCTAAAATCTCTTCTGAACTCTTACCAACTTTACCAACCCACAATTCCTAACATGCAACAGGAACTTATTCTTCTAAACTACAGTTCAATAGTTAATTCACTTTATGAGCTCAGGTATAAATATTTCCAAATCTAAGAGACATAACTATCAAACCTTCAGCTTATATGCATGTACACCAAACACTAATAAATTCAACTGTTATGTTTTGAATCATTACATTCTGTTTTGTATTTTATACTATGTGCTATTTTACATCAAATATAAATTGCATTGTGCACACCACATTGGATAGTAACCTCCAACATCTTCACTTCCCTTAATCACGCCTTTCCTAGTCAAAAGACAAATATATGTAGCATCACCCCCTACA